TAATAATAATAATAATAATAAATGTCTTTATTCGCATTATTATTTGTACAATTAAAAAAAAATTAATTAAATAGTGGCGGCGTTCGATTCCTCGCTCTTCCACGCAACCACATAAAGAAAAGAAAAATAATTACAAAAAATTTACAAAGAACATTAGAAATATAAAAATAATATTTCATCAAATATATATTATAATTTTTTTATTGACTCTTTGTGTGCCTATAGATTATAATAAGATGATAAACGCAGACAAAAATAGTATGATAAACCATAAAAAAGAAAGAAAATTTAAAAAACTGGACAGAGGGACAGAAGTAATTAATTAAAAACAGATTATACTATATATGTGCACACCTATAAATCTCTTCGTGATACGAGGAGCTGCTTCATCTGCCTACGGAACGACAAAATACTTGGTGCTCCTTTTATATTGTTAGGGAATTTGTTAAAAATCTTCGCAGCGTTATACGAAAAATAACCTTGAAATTGAGCAGATTTGTGTTTTGGAACCAAGTACAGGTGTCGGTATCGGGTGGAACGGTTGTGTAGTTCACTGCCTTTTACTAGTTTGTTGCACAGATAAACAGGAGATTTAAATGTTTCAGTTTTATAAACTATGCAAGACAAATGTAGCTCATACCTTTCTTTTAAATATAACCATCTGGATTCCAAAAACTTATGAGTCAAATTTTCTTAAGCCAAAGCAATATCTGATGCAACTGTTCTGTATTTTCTACAGGGTATATTTATCTGATTCTAATAGACAAGGCCAAAAAACACTATCACAGTAATGTAGTAGAGATAAAATTAGCGAATCACATAACTTTAGTTTCACATCAGTACTGAGTGAATCTTTATGAATATTAAGCAGTTTTAATTTCCCGTACGATTTTTGTACTAAATAGTTTACATGCTTTTGAAATCTTAAATTAACATCCAAATATACTCCAAGGTTTTTGCATTCTTCTTTGGGCTTAATTACTTCACCATTAACAGAAATTCGAAAGTCAGGATGCAGGGTTACTAGTTCCCTATTTTTTCCGAATACTAGCAATTCCGTTTTGGCTTCATTCAAAATAAGTTTATGAGCAGTACATAGTCGTGAAAATTTACGCGTCTAAATTTATTTCATCAATGACTATATTAATATTACTATATGGAAATGAATAATATACCTGTGTATCATCAGCATACGGATGAATTTTGCAACTAGATAGGTATGTAGAAAAGTCTGCAGTGTAGACTGAAAATAATAAAAGGCCCAATACACTACCCTGAGGAACTCCTTTATTTGTGGCCCTGAAATCTGAAGATTTACACAACACCTTTTGACGCCTGTTGCATAAATAATTTTTAAAAAATAATTGAGGAATATCTCCAAGATCGAAATATTTAAGTTTTTTAAGCAAAATGTTATGATCCAACGTATCAAAGGCCTTGCTTAAATCTAAAAGAATCAAGCAAGTACTAAGATGTTTGTCATTTGATCGAAGTATATTGTCTGTGACATCTAAAAGGGCTGTAGTTGTGCTATGATTAGCCTTAAATCCCGATTGATGCAATGGTATAATATGATTTGCAGTAAAATAGGAATTAAGTTGCTCACATACGATTTTCTCTAAAACCTTAGAAAGTGTAGGTAATAAACTGATGGGTCTAAAATGAGACAGGCTTGTGGGGTTTGTGATTTTAGGAAGAGGACATATATAAGCGTGTTTCCAAATATCGGGAAATTCTCCTGAAGTGAGACATTTATTTATAATAAATGTGAAATACAAAATTAAATGTGGAAAAAATAAGTCTAAGGTTTTTAAGTTCATTCCGTCTGCACCTGTAGCGTTAGATTTCAATTTTCTTAAAACCAAACTAACTTTCTCAGCATTGCTACATACATGATCATACTTATCTAAAATTTCCACTATATCTGGATCCAATGAAACAGGTACATTAGGTATAGAATCTATAAAAAAAAATCATTTACAACTTGGGGTCTTCGTTACTAATTGACAAATTCTGTTTTTTTAAATTTAAATGTTTAAGTGCAGCCTAAAAATTTTTAGGATCAGTTTTTAATTTATAATTTAAATAAGCCTTTTTTTCTGCTTTGACAGATCTATTTACTAAATTGCGCAGCTCCTTATATTCTTCCCATACCTGTGCAGTTCTGTTTTGTTTATATCGAGTAAAAGCCCTGTTCCTCAGTTTCATCATTTTTTAAAGATTACTTGTCAGCCAAGGAGCTGGAGGTTTAGTGAACCTAGATGTTTTATAAGGTGCATGCTTATCTAACAGAATATTGCAATTATCATTTAAGAAGTTTACCATTTCACTGGGCGTATCGAATGTGTATACATATAGTATCCCACCTTACTGCCATCAAATCTACTAAGAAAATATAATATATGTTGTTGGCCAAATGAACATATAATAGAAATTTTCTACACATTATATACAAATTATTATAATTTTTTACCTTTTACAGAAAACTTTTTTAGGGATGCCTATGAAACTCATTAAAATAAATTTATTGCTAGGCGTTTTTATACATGTTCAATTGACTATAATACTTTTTTTACGTTTAAACTCTAATTCGACTGGAGTATTAAGTTAAGGTAGAGAAAGTCTCTCTTTTCTCGGTCACTGCAAAGTAATCAGCAGATAAACATCACATCCTGAATGAAATGATAGGTTTAACCAATATCTCAAACTGTCTCTTAAATAATCCAAATTTTCGATATATCGAATTTTCTGCTTGTAATACTCCGGTTCATACACTCCTATTTATAATCACGGTTTGCGAATTTTATTCTCGTACCGCCACGCCTAGTTTAACTAATGAGCAATAAATCATAATTAAATGAGTAATTATCACGAGTGCTAGTCTGTGTATTTACTGCAACTCAAACGCAAACATACCTCCAGTTCATTAGGCTTATTCAGCAGGCATATTCCATTCCCCGTCCTTAATCTATCAATATAATCCGATCTGCTACACTCGGAGAACTTGTAAGGCTGCACATTGTCCAGCCCGACAATCGCCTGGGCCATGATGCAGCCGTGCCAGTCCCTGCAAAAGCACTCTTCCCTGCCGTCGTCGTGCCCCATCCCGATATTGTGTCCGATCATATGAGCCATTGTCCCGGCCAGTAAGTGAGGCTCGTACGTGTTAATATCCACGCTAATCCCCACGGATTTCGCAGTGCATACGGTGGCCGGGACGGCCATTCCGGCTTCGCCTCCCACAAAAACCTCCCCGGTAAGGAGCTGGGTCGTGTCCTTGTCGATTTTGAACAGCTTCCTCGCCGAGTAATCGTTGAAGTTGGAGAGGGCTTTGCCGATGTCTTCGTTGCGGTCTATCTGGGCCTGGTTTCCCCCTGAAAAGAAATTGAAAGGAAAATATGTTAAGAAAATGCTTCATTTAGAATACGTGAAGAATTAAAATGCTTCTTCTAGTCCTGAGCGTGAACGATCGACTGAAGTCGATCGAATTAAATTATTTAGTAGGTATTTATGATACTTCTCTACACGTTTCAATAAACTGGCTAAATTTAAGGTTACTACATAACGAGCGTTCAAATAAAAACGTGGTCGAAGTTGGCTCTGACACATTGGACGTAGGGCGTAGCTTATAGCGACCAACTTAACCTCATTTCTCAACGAGCTGTATAGCAGCTGTCAGTTTCAATAACAAAGCGGCGATATAGCGCTTTGACAGATGACGTTTAAGTTCATTTGCTATACGCTACGCCCTACGTCCAAATTTTCAGAACCAACTTGACCACGTTTTTATTTGAACGGTCGTTATAATTAATACTGGATCCATTGAATGAATATTGAGTCACTAAAATACGCAAAATTGGCCAACAAGTCAGAACCAGTTCTATTCTTCCCAATTTTTTGAAAAATTTAGTAAACACAACAATTTTTATATTTCTTGTGAAGGAAAAACAATTTCATGCTCAAGGACCCCCCAGAATCCTTATGGGAATTGGCTCCCGGTTAAATTGGCTGAATTTTTAGTATGTTATAGTATTCATGGTCCTGATCAAAAGTCCTCATGGGCACAAGCGTCCAAAACCTCTAAATTTCGAGTTATCAGCCTCAGAAAGGTGCTGGGTGAACGTTTTTGGACTTTTATGAATTTTGCAAGTTCCACATTCTCTAACGTACTTAACGGTATAGGCTCGCGGTTAACAAGGCTGATTTGACAGTATGTTAAAGTGCTCTTCATCCTGATCAAGAACTCTCATCCGCGCAAACCCCCGCAACCATCAATTGCGAGTCATGGAACCTCTGAATGATGATGTGTATTCATGATGAAGAGTACTTTAACATACTGTCAAATCAGCCGAGTTGACCGCGAGCCTATCCCGTTAAGTACGTTAGAGAATGTGGAACTTGCAAAATCCATAAAAGTCCAAAAACGTCCACCCAGCACCTCTCTGAGGCTCATAACTCGAAATTTAGAGGTTTTGGACGCTTGTGCCTATGAGGACTTTTGATCAGGACCATGAGTACTGTAACATACTAAAAATTCAGCCAATTTAACCGGGAGCCAATTCCCATAAGGATTCTGGGGGGTCCTTTATTGAAATGTTGGACGTAGTGCAGGACGTGTTATTTTTTGCATTCCATTGGATAAAGTAACTAATGATATGCCAAAGGATCTTCTAAAAAGTCTTAAAGTTGAACAATTTTTGTAGAGCATATCGTCTATTGGTAAGTAATTAGTTTATTCTTTTAACTTGTGTTACTTTTAAACGACATTTGAATAAATATTAGCATTTTCGAACACAATATTTAAACAGCTACAACTGTTATCAGCGCTTTCGCTCTGCGGCGCGCGGCATCTTTGATATCAAAGGTACATATGGCTGTTGCAGCAGGATGGCTTTAAATTTGTTTAAACCTTCATGTCAATTTTTTTTTTCAATTTACAACGTAATATTTTAGACTATCACTTAAAAGTTGCTTATTTTTTTGCCCCTCTTTTCAAGGAAAGCACTTATTTCAGAAACACCCTGTATACTTTAACTCTGTTTTAAATTTATTAACTAGATTCACGTGATGTCCTAGTGACTTCCAACGTAATATCGTTTTTCGAAAAAGTACCGATTAAAGAAAAATTGGAACAATTTTAATGAACGGTCATTGCAGAAGACAAGACCGTGAATTTATTAGGCTCAGCAAAAGTTTGCACCACATGGATCTTCTTCTCCTTTAAAGAGATCAGTTTAACGAACAAACTGAAGGAGCATCTATGCTTTCAGTCTTATTCTCAGCTCTGGCAAATATCTATACGTGTTGATTCAGATATGAATCAATGGAATACATCCGGATATCAGCTCCACCATGGAAGAGATGGAAATGAAAGTAAATGGTACCCTGCCGTTCCTACATGTCCTTGCCCCTAGGGCACATCGTTTACAGAAAGCCAACCTACACGAATAGGTACTTGAATGCTGAGTCTCATTAGCACCTAGCCCAGACGCAAGGTATACATATAATTTGCTCTCAGAGGAACATGAAACGAGCCAACAGGAGGAAACACAAGGAAAAGGAGGAATATCTGGCAATGACTTGTCTTATATACAAGGATGTACTGACAAGATAGGCGTATCTTAAGGAAACACAATATTAATCCCATGTGTAACTTTCCAAGAAAAAAAGAAACAGCATTTCCCAAGACGAGTTACAAGAACGATCTTCTTCAAGGCTCTGGTGTATGCAACATCTTGTGTACATGCGGAAAGGTTAGTACAAAGGGAAGTCATGTAGCGAGGTTAAAAGAACAAGTGTCATTTAATAATAATAACGTAGAAAAATAAGAAGTTGCATATATTACATTAGAATAAATACGGAGTAGATACAGTATATGAGGTAGACCTAACTATAGCAGAAATTTGGTGAGAGAGAATGAAAACAAACGGTGGTCACGTTCCTACAGAGATTCAATAGAAATCCAGAAGACTCGAAATAATTTCAGTTAAAATGAGGGGTTAGAATTACATGAAATTTGGAACAATACAGATCAATGTCTACAAACAGTACTCCCAAAGCCGTGGTTCAGTACAAACGTAAAATATAAATACTAATCAGAGTACTGTTTTAGAATTTCTTCTGAAGATAAGAGCGATATGGCCCTTTAAACTTCTAATCCGATGATGTGGTAATCAACCCGAAAATTGTTCAAGCATCAACAACTGCCAAGGCAGCAAACTGAGATATTTTTACTAATTTTTGACGCAACTAATTCATCAAGAAATCAACCAAGTTACACTGGTAACATGTAATGCATAAATTCCCTATCTTCAATAAATTTGTTAAAAAATTGAAGACATTAGAGCTGCTTAGGATACATATACGTTCTATATTATGATTTATAAATAATTAATTTATAATAGACCTGTTGAGTAACTGGATACATATTCGCTTGTTTCTAAATTTTTCTAAATAAATTTATGTAAATAAATAAATCCTCGATTTTCTGTATCTTAATGAAAAGAAGTCTACATTGATCTTCAAAGTTTTTAAGACATGACAAACGAAAAACAAATATTTTTAATAATCTAATAGAAATACAGGAACGTATCAAAAGTTTATTAATTTTTTTTATTTAAAAAAATGCAGTGCAATGTTTGAAGGACATTTGAATACGTCATGGTACGTCTCAAAGAAAAAATATGGAAGGTGACGATATAAAAAATATTTAGAAGATTTTTAGAAAAAGAACTAAAGAGTGTCTAGAGTCTAAGATAAGTACAAACTTAAGATATTAAAAAAAGCAACTGTTTTAAATTGAAGTCAATATTTTATTTCCTCCTAAAAACCCACTAGACCGGAAACTCTAGGATAAGTAAACCACACCAGGAATTGAAAAAGAAAGGTTTTGATAGAAAAAAATTTTTAGATTTACAAAACGGTGTTCTGTACTGTAATGACTCATTTTATTATTCTAAATTTCATTTTCTTTTATTTAATTAGTAAAAATATTTTGGTTTTCTTTTTTGAGACACCATGTCTTTAATACCATTGAAAACCTCTTGGATCCAGAATAACAAGAATTGGAGACTCTATTATTGTACTTGTTAAAGAATACATTCGTGCGTTAAGAAAAAAATGAAAAAACAAAAAATGAAAATACTGATACATATATGAAAAACAATTTTGGACACTCTGTATGAAAATAATTAAGCATTAAGGCAAAAGGCTTCAATTGGAAAAGAGGCTGTTTCATAAAAAAGAAAACACTTTTATGTGCCACACAACTTTGTAACTGTGAATATACACTGTGTCTACTTAAGTTGGAACCACATGGAAATTTTTTTTTAATTGGTTTTATGAAAAAAATTTAATCTTCATAAAAAGTTTTGCATGGTCTAAAATCTAAAATGCAGCCTTCAGTTATCAAAACTTCCCAGTCATATAAGAGGTATATCAGAAATTATGAATTTTGCTCAAGAGTAAAGTACCTTTATTTTTGACAACTTTTTTTCATAAAACCAATAATAAAAAAGTTTTCCAAATGGTTCCAACTTAAGTAGACACACTGTACATCATTAATTTTAAGACGTGCCCTTTTTAGCCTCAATGATTTTTCCAAGACGAATATATTTTCTGATGAAGGAGAAGACTATGACAGAAGAAAAAACACTAGATGGACACATTGTACAATCTATGTGTTTAACCTGTATAATCTCAACCAAAACGGGCCAGCCTGTATACCCATTACCCTTACAGCTTGAAACTTTATAAAATTTAAATAAACGTTATCTATCCAAACATAATTGTTTGAAATTTACTATTAATATTTGAATTGCTAACTAACAAATTTAATGCCACTGCGAATTTTGTATAAACAAATAGTCAATTAATAAATTAAAAAGTGTTTATAATTATAAAATTATTTTTTATATTAAATTACCCAATATTTACTGTTATTGAAAAATACTTTAATATTATATTCCTGTAGCAATTTGCACGAGAGTAATGTTTTAATATTCATGTTGTACAAAATGTTCGTAATGAATAAAGTTCGCTGTTGAAGTTTATATAGAAGACTTACCCTGCCAAGTTTCGATATAAACTACGGATACCCTGGTATTCAAAGTTCTAAAATATAAATCTGCGATATTGGCAACTTGTATCGAATCATGAACGACGTCTATCCGCGTGCTGCCGTTCCTCTTCTCGAACATGGCCTTATCTATCACCAGGGCGGTTTCAATGTATTTCGTTGCTTCCCTAACATCCCTCTTAATTTTGAGGTTGGTATGGGGAAGGAAGCCCGAGTGCGTGTTGAGCCTCCACTCCATGCTGCCGGAATTTGCACATCCCTTATTTGCTTTCGTCCTAGCTTCGAATATCACATGTGGATGTTTCTGCTAAAGAATAGGAAAGCTGTGCAGTCACATATAGTCCATAAGAGGTCAATAAACAGAGATTGCAAACATTTTATGAAGCGGAGGGGACTAAGTGCTTGCTATAACATCTTTTTCTAATTTTGTTTCGTTTCAGATGAAGACATTTTTCTGAAACGTAGAGGGTGCATGCTAAAGAATGAACCAAATTTCCCTACTTGGAGAAGATCATATAAAAATTATTCGAGGGATGTTTCGTTTCCAAAAGACATATTGTTGAAATTAACAAAATAAACTTCAATACTAAAAAATATACATTTCGGTAAGTCCAGTGGCGTGCGTGGAGTTTGATATTAATGACACGTCACTGACTAAAAAAATAAAGATATCATCTCTCAAATTAATAAAATTAATTCGTTAAATAGCACAACATACAGGGTATATCACGAAGAGGGCCCAGCAGGATTATCTCAAAAAGCATTCAGAATTAAAATCTGAAAATTTGTATTCAGAGGTTTATCAAAAAGATCTATTCAATGAAAATAGTGTCAACTTCCTGCACCTCCAGTTATACCGGAAGTCATCATCAACTCTGTTATTTCAAATGGAATATTATGTGTATTTATGCATTTTTTAATTCCAAGGCAAATTCTAGATTATTTTCATATAAAGTCCTATGGGCGAAAATGTGACAGTTTTCAAGTTATTATTAATTTTCGAAAAAAAATGAGTGAGTGAGAGTAAGTGATTTTCGAAAACTGAATAACTCCGACATTTAGCTTTATTTATTAATGAAATTTGACATGGATAATTTAAAAACAATGGAATTCAACCAGTTTAAGTCATATATGCAAAAATTCATACAGAGTGTTTAACAACGTGTGACCAATATTGTGACGAAATGCAAAAATATACAGAGTGTTCCATGTGAAATAACAGAGTTGATAATGACTTCCGGCATAACCGGAAGTGCGAGAAAGTTGACACTATTTTCATTGAATAGATCTTTTTGATAAACCCTTATACAGGGTGATTCACAACTTATCCAAAAAAATTTGGGAATAGATGCGGCATGAGAAATGGAGTCAATATCGTAAAAAAAATTTTCGTAAAATCCTTATAGTTTCCGAGAAAAAATTATTGAAATTATAGTACATTCAACGATTACATAGCTGGACAACTGTAGTCTCTAGCGTCATTTGCAATGCGCGTGGAGAGCCACGTGGCCTCAGCGACTCCGAATACTGAAATCGTATTTTGCAATCGTCGTTGCAACAGTATTTACCTGTTATCTGTTGTGTTTACAATATTTTTTTAGTAGTTAGTGTCAAAAATGGGTAGTTAGTGTCAAAAATGGTTTGCGTGTACTCGGAGTTGATGGATATCGTTTTAATTTATGGTGAAGCATTTGTGTTATGGTGAANAATATTTTTTTAGTAGTTAGTGTCAAAAATGGGTAGTTAGTGTCAAAAATGGTTTGCGTGTACTCGGAGTTGATGGATATCGTTTTAATTTATGGTGAAGCATTTGTGTTATGGTGAAGCAAGACAACATTTGTGTTAGTTCGTAGTAACTGAGTACGATGGACCCAAATGTGTTTACACGTTGGTGGATTTTGAACAATTGTTGTAAAATCGGGTATGTCAAACGATTTTATTATTTAAAAACACAAATTAATTGTATTAATTAATAAAGGCAAAAGCAGTTGAATTTGCCGATATAAAATAGGTGCGATAAAATTCTATTTACATTTTTTTTTCCTTGCGAAAGTTTTTGCCCGTTTTTATCACACCGCCATACTGGCCGCATTGTGCGAGGTCATGTTTTACAGTGGACCAGTTTCCAGTGCCTTACAGAAGTGTATTTTTAAATCATTTTCGAACTGCCCTTTTTGATTTTTTCTTTACAAAATTGTACATCCAGAATTTTTTTTTTTGGATAAGTTCTGAATCACCCTGTATACAAATTTCAGATTTCAATTTTGAATGCTTTTTGAAATAATCTTACTGATACAACCTGTATATCTTCTATTTGAAATATTAAAAATATTTATGGGAGAAGTGCAAATATAGTTCATGGTCCATAACCGTAAACATATTTATTGCATGTGTTGTCCATAAACAGGTACGTTACTCTTCTACAACAGTTGTGTTATATTACTATAAATTGTTACTCACATTAAATTTATATTAACAATCTAGAGATATGGATTTATCCTCGCTTAATGCCTTGTGATATTTTCTTTACATTAACTTGTTTCGCTCGCTGAGAACGAAAATAATTAAAAAAAATACCGATGTTTTACGTTAAACTTCTTATGAAAAAGACTAATCGTTGACACAAATTTGGAAAAATGTTGTTTTTTACAAAAAGCAAGATATCTAGATTTTTTTATAAATGTAATACATAAATTTTATAATTTTATTTTCATATTTTCTTCTGCATAGATCAATGGTAGTTTTAAAACAACCTAAGGCGTATATTTTTTACCAGTATACTTTCAAATAGAAAAATATTGACGGGCATAATAAGAATAAACATTTTTTACCTTCATTGGATTGACTAAAACAACAGAGTCGTTTTTATAATAAAAAGATTAGCCCTCTTGGAGACGGGAGATATGCAAGAAATATATAGCTTTTTTACGCAATCTATTGTGAGAATTATAGTGTGGAATAGCCAAATGGAATAAATTAAGTATCTCAATGATTGACAACATTTATAAAAAAATCCCGAGACGTTCTGAAATGTTATCCACGAAAAATTTCATCCCTATATTCAACCTCCTTCTAGTTGCAACCCCTAAATTTTTAAATGGGAAGTTGGGGCTTGTGATACCTTATTTGAAAGATTTTTTCATTATCTCTTCAAAGATGCTATAATTTTAATATTTATTGCAAAAAATTGAAGTTATTTTTTTGCTGCCAATTTTTGCAATAAATATAAAAACCATATATTTTTTTAGTAGAGAATGAAAAGACCTTTCAAATGAGGTATCACAAGGCCCTACTACCCATTTAAAACATTAGGGGTTGCAATTGCCACTCGAAGGGGGTTAAATTTAGGGATGAAATTTTTACATTGCAGGACGTCATTTTCGAATCCAAAATAGACGTGTCTGGGAATTTATTATACAGGGTAGGAAAGTACCGATGGTCTATCTGAAGTTACGTGAGAGCGATAAAGTAAGCCATGGAAATCCATGCGATAGAGAAGGATGGCTATAATGAAGGCTTCTCTTAGTCACCGCCCGTTTCGCCATTCCACAAATAAGATCCACTTCTTATTTGTGGAAGGGCGAAATGGGCGTTGACTATTAGACGCCTTCATTATAGCCATCCTTGTCTATCGCATGGATTTCTATGGCTTACTTTATCGCTCTCACGTAACTTCTGATAGACCATCTGTACTTTCCTACACTGTAAATATGCACAATAACTGAAACTAAATTTATTCCATTTGGCTGGTCCACTCTGCACACTAGTTTTGAAAATATTTTGTATACAATATGTACGAACTATGTAATTTATGCAGTATTAATATTAAATCATTTCTATTACAATCTACTTCCCAAGTCCTTTCTTTAAAATGAAAATTCTTTATACAGTTTTCTCCGAACAAATGTATATTAGTGTCACTAAAAATATTTATAGTATGATGATATACGCCGTACACCGTGTTAATTAATTTATTTTTTAAGCAGTCTCTGTGAAAATGATATTTCTGCTTCGTTGTCTCAGAAGCTAACGATACGCGACTTTTTTTTAAACCGCTTTTTAAAAAAATATTTTTTGCATGCTATTACATATTAAATAATATTGGTATGTCGGTAGGCACAGATATTAATTGTTAGTAAAACTAATTGATATTTTAAAATAACTATTTTTACTGTTTTATAAAATATGCATATCTACCTACCTATTACAAAATAAATAAAATTACTTACTAATCTGATAAATTTTAAATATATATTTTTTCTTTTTAATAAAGTGAATTTGTTACTAAACACTGTCTTTAGTTTGTAAATCTGAGTCTCAATGACCTCTGACATTGACCTAGTTTAGGTAACGTATAAATATCAATCCACTTGATGTGACAAAATGGTGCTAGGCCTTTTGCCACATCAATAAACAGTTAACACTAATTCAGGGAAACAAGAATGACCGAATATATATCCATTTCAGTTCATTATACATATTTTAGTTTATCATTTTACAAAGTGTTTGTAATTCGATAGGTAATAATGAACCGACTTTCTAAGTGAAATATTGTTTGTACTGGAATCGAAATAGAATTTGTACAGTGTAGCGCCTTATTAAATTAAAATTAATTTTTATATCAAGATTTAAAGAGGTGTTTAATGAAGTATTAGTAACAGTACGGTGTGGTTATTTATGTGTTCTCATTGTTAAATTTCTATATAATATTATGGAAAAATCTGTATACGAATAAAAAAAGATGAGTTTTGACAATAATGCCGTAGCCTCCAATTGCCATCTGATATATCCAGCAGTGGGGTACTAAAATTACGAAAAACAACAAAAATCAAAAAGTCTAAATTATAATACGCGTTTCTAAAGGCCAAAAGTAGTAGTATCCGTATAAATATGACCTTCTACATAAGAAACAAGCTGCAATTTTATTTCGTCGCATGAATCATGTCTTGATCAGTGGAGTGACTCTCCAGCATATTAAATTGAATGAATTTGAAATAGATAAGTGTAAGTCCATATTTATAATTCTCGGGAAAGAGTGAAGGCTTAATAATCTCACAATCCTTTTATTAAGACGACTAGTTTCGAGGTCTACACTTTGCACCTCATCTTCAGGTCATAACAAGGCTACAAAGTTAATTTTTTGATTATGCTAAAGGTATACAATTTTTAAAAAACTTTTAATAAATAAAACTATATGTGTATACTTACATATCACATTTACAAGGTTCTGTGCAAAATTTGGAAAATTCATCTAAATAACCAGTTTATCAATTGTATACTTAATAATATCTTCCTAACGTTTAA